GTGCGAGGGGAATGTAAAAGATATACCACAAATGCAAAAAGCAACCATAAAGAGAGATCTGAACCCCCACTAGCCACCACAAGACCACCATAGATCACCTTCATCATTAACATCAATGGCTTGTAATTTGACCCTCCTTTACTTTGAAAAACGGTGGTTATAGAACATGTATACGTGAGATACTTACAATTTCAGCCGTGTAGTGCGGAGACGAGACGTATTCAAACCAATCGCCATACGGAATAACATACTCCTCCAGCTTTTTGGTTTTGTCTCGCAAGGAACCCTAATTATCACAATGTTAAAACAACAAGAACAAAGTATCCACCTTTTCTTCAAATTAATATAGGAAATAACGTACAAGGATTTGATGACAGCGAAGCTGATGTACCCAACCCCATAAGAAAATAGCAGCACCTATCCACGCATACCATGGAAGCCTCAAGAAAACAGTCACAAACATCCATATATTATCAAATTTAGGGCTTGACATGCCAACTCTTCCACTGACAAAGTCAAAGACTTGAGGTGCAAAATTACAGCATAGGGATAGTGGAGCTAGTACATAGTATCTGGTTTATAAAAAAGTTCACTTGAATATATCAGCAAAAGAATCTTGAGAATCGGGAATAACATACCTAGCTGTTGCAGATATGTGAGACTTACAATATGCCTAGAAGATAACCTAAGATGTGCATTCGAGCTGATGGACTGTAGTTAAAAACATAGATTGACTCATAGAAGCGTCGCATAACATGAACTTCCATTAGCAGAAGGAGAAATACAGCTTGAGATAGCCAAACATTGTATACATGCTTTCTCATTGCATAAGACCACAAAGAAACAAGCAAGATTGTCGTCCATAAAACCCCCACCACATAAAAGTGAAGGAAGAATCTCTGAGGCACAGTTAATTTCTGAAATGCATAAAAAAAAGAAAATCATAATTAGGATGAAAAAATATTTTATTACTATGAATAGAATTGCTGTATGTGACTATTATATTCACTTACAGATTTGGATTGCAAAATCTTGCCTCTTTTGATAATCCCCAACAGAGCTGTGCGAAACCAACCAATCCCGGGCAATGGAAAACAGGCTACAGCAATTGACAAAGTAGCAAGGATCCATGCTGCTCGTATGAATGATACGATCCCCAGCCCCACTTCTTCCATTCTTTAATTACACGAAAATGGGGAAAAAAAGAATCCTCAATTGGCGTGCACAAGCACAAAGATAATATGCAATCCGTTGTAGATTAAGACACTCCATTTTAAATAAAAAGTCTCGTTTAACCAAGGTTTTAAAAAGTTCAAAATGATCCGTCATGATACGCCATAGCTCCAAAGTTTGTACGTACCACCAAATTACCAAAATATCGCATTAACTCATATATGTGTATAAAAATGAATAATAGTTGAAAATACATATTAATTTTTTTATTTATATCCAAAATTTCCACCTTAAGTCACACCTTACAAACGATGTGTCTCATCAAGGCTCGGAAAAGCTTGAAACTTGACATTACCACCAAGTTACGTCTTACATTATTTAGAACCTTACGTTTAACACTATAAGTTTCTAGCGTTTAGTTTAAACAAAGTGTTCCAAATCCAAAAGATACCTCATGTATCGTTTAATAAAATTTTATCAGCTACCAGCTACTAACTACCCGCTAACTACTATCAGATACCCGCTAGTTTTGCTGAACACACCCAAAAATGAGTTTCTAGTTCCTTTAAAAACATAACTAATAGAGTAAACTGCAAATTTGATCCTGTTTGTCAAATTTTCGGGTTCAAGCTGCTAAAATACAAATTTTGCTCAAAATAATCTTACTGACATGTTTCATGGCAGTTTTGATCCATGCATTTAACTACGGTTTAAATTCAACCATATATTAGGTGCAACACGTGCCCTTCACATTAGGACACTTTAGTCTTTTCACCTAGAAACCATCTATCTTATGTTTCGGATACAATATTATAAGCTTATTTACAACAACATACTTGCATAAGTTAAATACATCATCATCATTCACTAGTGTTCTTAACCCAAAATCCAAATAAGTTATTGTATCGTATAATGATAGCAGATGACTAGGAGTACCTAGTAATTAATGTAACACCAGCAAATCCAGGATAGACAAATAAGTTATTATAAGCTATAATAATAAACATTTAAAAAGGGGATTATTTAGGATAAATAATCTTTACCAAGTTATAGTATATACGACAATGATTCTGTACATATAAAGAACGTTGAAATCCGACTTAAAATGAAGAAGTTATACTTCTTCCAAGTTACGCGATTAAACCGACACAAAATATATAGAATGTCCAAATCTGACTTCTTCAGAGTAAGTTGTGATTTTTCGAAGTTTCAGCACAACAATATACAGCTTATAAACCGAAGTAGACATTTGTCGATTGTTAGAAAAACAATCTAAACAAGGGTTAAAGATCTCATCCATATGATTCTGTCGATAAAAAGAAAGTCGAGAACGGATATCGTATGAGAAAGTTATCAGTTTTTAACGGACATTAATAGTCTAAGACTATTAAAAATATAACTTTAAAATAAAGTTAAAGTTAGCCAACAGATTCTAAATGAAAGTTGTAGATTTCGTCGAGAGCTTTCTGGGGATATAAAGAATGTCGAAAACAGAGCTCGTATGAAGATGTTACGACATTTTTGAAATATGGAAATTCGCATGAGAGCCATGAGGGCGGTGCGCACAATGATGTGGCACGTTCTGGAGGCAACATGTGGCATGGAAGGCCACCCAATCTTTGAAGAGGTAACGTGACGTGGCACCACGAGATTTGGATACGTAACACCACGAATATATGAGGCGTGGCAACTTCTAGAAGAGGCGTACCCAGACTAACAAGGTGTTGACATGTGGCAGAAGGCCAAAGGAGCCAGCATCACCCTAGTGCGCGGTGCGCATGCCTAGAATGTGCGGTGCAATGTTTTTCTTGCCTATAAATCGTCGGCTTCGTATATGCTTTCACCCCTACACACATTCTCTCTTGAGTATTCTTTACTTTTAGGCTAATTTTCTTGAGTTTCTGGCTTGTGGCGAAGCCCTACGACACCCGTGAATACTTAGCTAGTTGTAACTTTCGAATAGAAGTCCCTAAATCAGAATTCTACCCACTTAAATCTCCAGTTTACATCAAGAACCCCTGTAAGTTAAGCTACACTCTTCTACTTTCAGTCTAACTTATATTTATTACCATTAGTTGTTATTATAAACCTATAAATAAGATTTATCAGTAATTCCATGTTGTTATAATGATTGACCTACTTGCAGGGATGATATCTAGGATGGATTTAGTGAGGTGTTTGAAGTGAGATTTCCAAACAGTATACTCTATATACCAAATAGACCATACCTCTGATATGATGCTACATGGTTGTCCCTTATCAACTATAGATCAATGGACATTGGGATTACTGAGGATCTAGACTGTTATTAGTTACCAGGATCATTAGACTAAGACTCTGTATTAATCATACTTTGGTCATGTAAACGGAATATCTATGGTGTTAAGGTGAAGCTCTACCCTAACTTTGAGTCACATGTCTCGATCAGGTGAGTGCATAGTTACCTTAAACTTACACATAGATATCAAGTATTTAATTTTCTTAAATGCTTTATGTGCTTATTATCTAAGTTTTTGATATCTCTTTTAGATGGGATAAAGATTTTTCTAAAATATTATATATGTATTTTAATGTACTCATAATATATTGGGTAGGACGGGTAGAAAAGAATAAGAGAAATGAGATAATAGTTAGGGATAATTAGATTAGAGGTAACGATGAGTGGCCATAAGAGAAAAGAGATAATGACGAGAAACCATACCAGAGATATATTAGGGGTAAGACAGCATGCCAGAGATAGGGCAAAGAGACCATGCCCAACAGAGATCAGTCATCAAATATAATATTGATGGTGACCATGCACTATTCTAGACAGGCTAATGGGACACTAGCAAACTTGCAATCTATAGGCGTTAATGAAATCACACAAACCGAGAGTATGGATTGTGGATGCATTTGAGTACTTAATTTCTCCTTTGTTACCTTATCAACATGTAGCCCTTAGGGTAACCCTAGAGAGAGAGAGAGAGAGAGAGAGAGAGAGAGAGAGAGAGAAACAAGAATAGTAATTGGGTTAACCGTTTGGTGTGAATTATATAAAGAGATAATTTATATTATTGTTGATTGAAAACCCTATGTACTCACCAGGTTTTCCAACCTGACTCACTCAGGTTATAGTATGATATGTAATTATATATGATAACAAAGGTATCTGATGAGAGATTCAAAGGAGATATAGACTATTAATATAAAGAAATGTTGGAATTCTTCGTTTATGCTTATGTTTCTCGAATTGACAATGACATTCTGAATTTTATAAATCAAATACATTTCTTTGAAATGTCTTGATACTATTATTATCATATTTTTGGGCAAATTTCGCAAATTAAATAGTTTTAAAAGTATACTCTAATTTAATATACATAAACAAATCGGTATTTCATGGCCGTAAAGATGGAGATATCACAAGTAACTTAGTTCTTCCATTATAATGTCCGCTTCATGGACCAAAAATTCATCATATCTAATAGCTTGATGATGTGAACTTGTCCATTTAATATCTCCTATCGTGTGTCCCTTTCATGCAAATATGTAATGGAGTGATGGTTTTGTGTGTGTATGTGTGTGTACATATATATATATATATATATATATATATATATATATATATATATATATATATATATATATATATAGATAGATAGATAGATAGATAGATAGATAGATAGAGAGAGAGAGAGAGATTATATAACAGAAAATAATGATGAAATTTCTGAAAATATATGAAATAAATCGTATTATGAGTTGAGTTTTAAGGATTTTGCACATTATAATGCATATATTATACAAAAACAACATAATATGGTGGGTATGGGTTGTTAAGCTTTTATATATATATATATATATATATATATATATATATATATATATATATATATATATATATATAAACAGGATCATGTGAGGCCTTTTTTTCGGTAATAACTTGTAAGGATACCTTAAAAAAAAAAATTTTAAAAAATACAAATCATAAAATCGAACATACTACTATATTCGAGAGAAAAAGAAAATTGAAAAATAAATTTTGGATAATTAAAATTGAATCATAAATCGCTTTTATGATCTATGATTCACTTTTTATGATCAATGATTCAATTTTAATGATACAAAAAAATTTCCAATTTTTTTTCTTTCTAATATAGTATTATGCTCGATTTTATGATTTGTATTTTTTTTAATATTTGTGATACAAAAAAAAAAGTTCCAATTTTTACTCATCGGAATCGAACCGTATATAAAGACAGGATATATATATATATATATATATATATATATATATATATATATTATATATATATATATATATATATATATATATATTGCAAAATGATTAAAAAATATTTTTTTACAATAATGTTCGAAAGAATGATTTTAAATAATATTGTCTAAAAATTTGTTTTCATAAAAACTTTTTGCAAAACACTTTTGGGATAAAGTTATGTTCAAAAGACGTTTTTATAAATAACGCTATTATTGAAAGAAACGTTCCATACAAACAAGTGAATAACATTTTAAACATTTGTGACGTGTGTGTGAAAAAGATGGTGGGGGATTAATATGTTTAGAATACCAAGATCGTAATGAGATGTAACAATTTGTAGATATTTGATGAACACAAGCCATTTTGGAAAAAAAAAATGAAATAAAAGGCATACTAGGGACCCTCAAAACAAGACATGAGCATATAAAACGAAGCATTTTCGCCGGTAAAAATAACAACAGTGAAGCGTTGTCGGTATTTGCTTGTCGTTATTGCTCTAATATGTCGTCATTAATGATAATACTCGCCGCTAATAACATTGTCACCAGCAATATCCGTTGTCTTTGGTAATATGTGTCGCTGATATTTTTTTTTTTTTTTTTTTTTTTTAAAACCAATATTTTCAGGGCAGAAAAACCGACACGAAAACATTAAATACAATATATATATATATATATATATATATATATATATATATATATATATATATATATATATATATATCTTTACTACTTATAAAAGGAATCTAACTATTTCTATAAATAATTGAATATAATAATATTATTTTTTTAAAACGTCCAAACTATTAAGCTTGAAGTACAACCCATTTAT